ATATATATATATATATATATATATATATATATATATATATATATATACATACACACACACATACATATATATGTGTATATATGTGTATATATGTGTATATATATACACATAGATATAGATAGATATAGATATACATAGATAGATAATGCTATATCTAGCATTATACATATATATAAATTTTCAATCCCTTAGAATATACAACACAAAGAGTGAACCTTAATACGAACTATGGTCTCTGAACGATAATATTATGGTAGGTCCATCAGTTGTAACAAATATACCACTCTGGTGGGGGATGTTTTCATGGAGGAGGCTTTGTATAGGTAGGAGTAGGGTATATATGAGAAATCTCTGTACCTGCCACTTAATTTTGCTGTGAATCCAAAACTACTCTAAAAAACAAAGTTTTTATAATGTCTACATGAAGTTGATTAAATAGTAAAATATAAAAAGCAAAACTTTTAAATATTTATAAGAATATATGGGAAAACTTTTGAAAGAAAGAGTATCTGGAAATATTAGGAAGTGATAATATAGAAAACATTTTATTTTCTTGGCAACTCTGCTGTTGCTGGAGAAAGACTTTGGTTTGAAAAAATACTTTACTTGGGAAAAAACTGAGTGCCTGGTGTGTGGACATTAGATAATAATGCCAACTGATGTCAAAGGATAAATGAGATTGTTCTGCAAAAAAGAAGAAATGGGAGCTAGAGACAAAGATGATAGTGCATCCAGAATGCTGGAAGGAAGGAATGTGGAGAGAGGCAAGAGGAATAAATTAGGATTATGGTCAGGAAACCCACTTTTCTGAAAAACTGTGGATTGCAAACAACTGGAGAAAACCTAGTGATGTTTTGGAATAAAGGTTTGCAATGGAAGTGAGAGGATTTCAAAGCATTTTACTGTATCTAATTCAATAAACAGCTTCTATCCTTAGAATAGTCTGAAAGAATTAATATCAATTTATTCTCAGGGTCCTTTGTCACTTCTTGTGAAACGTTAGTACTCTGTATCAAATATAGGCTCTCTCAAGTTGCAGTAGGACCTGGGGACTTAAGAAAAAGTTTGGACCATATTCTAAGTCTCTTCAGCTCTAAAATGTTTTTATACTATAATCTAGAGTGAGCAAGAAGTACCACTTGATATATAATGTTCTATCTGTTCATTCCTTCTTCTTTTTGTGTGATTTGTTCTTTCAATTAGAACTAGTTGCCTCTTTATACTCATTTCTTCCTGTGATTATGTGTGTCATCCTTATCTTGACTCTCCATGGCCCTTCATTCAGTTTAGGGCTATAGACAGGACAGGCATCAAGTACTACATCAACTATCGAGGCCTATCTACAGAATTTACTCAAGGGAGTGATATGATCAGATGTTTCAAATACTTGCTACAGAAAGTATGGTCCATTGAATAACAGCTTCATGTGATATGGGAGCCTGTTAGAAAGGCAGAGTCTTACTCCAATTTCTACAGACTCAGCATCAGCATTTTCACCAGGTTGCCCAGTTATTCGGATGTACATTAACATTTGATTAGTACTGACCTAAGCATTCCCATTTTTTTGGTAGGATGATGAAAGAAGGATTTGGGAAGAAAACCCTGAAGGTAAAAGGTTACCTTTTCATTCTTTTAGTTTTGTGATATTCAGAGTAAGAACAGAAATATACAGGATGAACTAAAAAAGTCATTGTTGAAGAGTTGAAAAATATTTCCTCACATTTCTATAAATTCACATGAGCTGAAACTGGAGCCATTAGAGCTTTTACTACATAAAGTATATATCTGAGTCCCAAGGTAGTAAGGACCCCAATTCTTTGTTTATTTTAACAAAGAATTATAGCCTTGTACCTTATCAATTCAGGAAGCTCTAGGTGGAATTATACTCTTTAAAGTACTTCCAACACAGTGACTAAAATCATTTGGTCTTTTCAAGTGCCAAGAGGAAGTCTATAGTCAAATGCTACCCAAAGACACATGAGAGTAGAAGTTTTCTTGCCTGCTTTGCTCTACTGTTCTCGTTAATAGGATTTTTTTCTAGGTCACTGGGCAGAAAACTTCTTTTATGGTTTCACTTCTTAAATCATTACAATAAAGATTTGTACAACCCATGTGAATTCTTCCAAATTTTGAATCACAGGGCTTTCAGGATATAGAACTCTTCTGTAAAGACAGTTCCTGAATATCTTTAACTCAAAATCCCAATAGCATCTCACCCTCTCCTCTAGGAAAGTCACTCTGATTGGAAACTCTGGATTGTGTGTCATATAATAGTGAACACCTGGCCTCCACTGTAACAGGTCCTAGTAAATTCTGTCTAAACATGAATTTACAGAGAGAGTCTGATCCTAGCAACAACAGAATGCAGTGAGGATGTCATTTAGTAACGCCTAGAAGACCTTGTACTTAAAAGTAAAGCCATGTATCTGCAATACCTACCGATTTCAAAACTACCATCAATAACTCCCACCAGTGAAGAGGGGATATCAAACCTTCTCTCTATCTGAGTGATGGTGCTCTTCAGATAGCCTTCTGCCAATGCTTTGGCAAAGTAAACAAAAGACAAGGCACCCAAAAATACCTGGAAAATATGACAAGTCACACTTAGTCTGACTCCAGCTTGACATACATGTGGAAACTTCCTAAACAAGCAGACAAAGAAGAATGCAAACCAAGAACAATCTAACAAGCTTGTTAGCACTGAAGATTTCTCTCAAGGATGGGTACAGGCTTTCTTGAGCCTCAAGCTCATGCAGATTCCTAAAAATACAAAATCTGAAATATATTTCATTCAGAATGTATATTGAATTCTGCTTTTTCCCTTCTTTCCACCCCCTCCCCTCAAGGATACTTGAAGGAGTCTTGGCTTTGAAAAAAAGATCCACTGTATGGTGAAGCAAAGAGTGGAAGGAACCATACAGAGGTAAGAAAATAAAACAAGGATATAATCAAACACTTAACATCTTATCAAGTCTAGTACTCAGACTGTTTCACAGTCATAGCAGGAACATAGCAGACCAAAAAAAGTACAACTACTATCCTTGTGCTTGAGTTCATATTCAAGTTAAATTCATTCTCAAATGAATGTTTTTTTAATAGCTGGCTTATGTATTTTGCCAGACCTGAGTCTGTGATGGAATATCCATAGAATAGATGATCATTTGTATGAAAACACACACATATATTTGCTAAGCGAATGTTTGGTACAAAGAAGGAACAGGAACTTGGGAGTCACACTGAGCACCGTTTAAAAAGCGACGCTAGGGGCGCCTGGGTGGCTCAGTCGGTTAAGCGGCTGACCTCAGCTCAGGTCATGATCTCTGGGTCCGTGAGTTTGAGCCCCACGTCGGGCTCTGTGCTGACAGCTCAGAGCCTGGAGCCTGTTTCAGATTCTGTGTCTCCCTCTCTCTGACCCTCCCCTGTTCATGCTCTGTCTCTCCCTGTCTCAAAAATAAATAAAACGTTAAAAAAATTTTTTAAAAATTAAAATAAAAAAAAATAAAAAGCAATGCTACCCTTTACTGTGCAGCAAGGAAAGTTCAAAATTTTCATTTACAAAATGGGAACAGACAGACATTTCATAGATTAAATGCTATCACTATACTTAGCATAATATCTGGTACATGGTAGAAACTGAATAAATGTTAGTTTCTTCTCTCCCATTTCAGTTTAGGAGGGGCATTGAAATGGGGCCCGAAAGTAATATGCAGTAACAACCTACATGGTAGAGAGAGACTACTGCTTTCACTGCCTGATAAAGTGTGGTTTCAATAAGTTGCATCTAAGATCGTTTTTTAAAAAGGAAAAAAAAAATTCTTGCTTCTAACTCATATGGAAAATATGTAATTGCATAGAAACATGAATTATAAAATTGTGTAGCAAACATCTGGATGGAGAGTCAAAAACATGGACTCCACCAAATAATTCCCCCCAACACCCCGGCCTCCCCACCCCCCCCACCCCCCGCCTAATTCTTTGTTACTCTTTAGTTCACTACATAGGGTTATTTGTTGTTTACTGTTGAACTGCTTGTTACCTTCAGTTCACCACAGCACTGTTGTTTCTCCTTTGAGGAAGAATATTCTGTTGTTAAGGAAGGTCGCCCGACAGGTTGCATTGAACTTTTGCAGAATAACTGGATATTTTCTTTGGATGAAGTGTCCATTATGAAAATATTCCTTGACTCTGATCCTGTCAAGGTTGCTTCTGACAGTAAAAAAAAAAAAAAAAAAATTCAAATCCACTGTTTATTAAATAATGTTTTTATTTCACAGATCACAATTCTGGAGACATAGTTTGATATAAGCTACCTTATTTTACCACAGAAGTTGGCAAAATTTTTCAATTAAAATTGACCAGTATATTTGATTAACTAATCCAGCTATCAGGACTCTGTAGCCAACATTCTTTCTCAATCCCTCCAGCTTAAGCCTCATTATGGCAAAGAATAAATTTAAATGTTGTCTTTGGAATAAATAACGAGGCAGAATTTTGCAAACTTTGTGGTCTTGCCAGCTTAAACTAGAAGCAAGCAGGAAAGGAAGAGGCATTCAACCATTTGAATATTGATTCATTAAAATTAAGTCATTAAAGCCTTTTAATCTATCTTAATAGAATGGGTAGAAAAGATTGATGCCCCTTATAGGTCCCTGTAGCACACTGTTATTCCTATAGGTCTGCAGCATCCAAAGTAAGGTTTAAAATATGGCAAAAAAGAGAAGAGGACCAATTTATGTATCATTTTAGTTTGACACACAAGGAAGGAGCATGATTTGTGTCTCAGGCTTACATTTAATTCAGGCAAAAGTTACTTTAGTGCCTTAAAAAAAGATGGCCTCCCTTCCTATGTTTAATTTTCCATCCTCCTGTCCTTACCAAGCCCTGGACAGTTTCACATGCTCTGAACCTATTTTCTCCTATTCATATCCGTATTTACTTTTTTAGGATTCTGCATGGCCCAATACCTGCCTGAAAAAATAAATTAAGTGAAGAGATTGAAAAAACAAAATAACTTCTGGATCACCCTAATAATGCATTTGTATGTTAATAGAAATCTTGCATATTTTCATAAAACTAATTAAAGGAATAACATTAGGAGTAAAATTTAATGTATTTAGAAATTTAGGCTTATTCTGCCTATGAATATATTACCTTGACCTTATGTAATACTTATTCTGTGTTTCCTAAACCTCATCCTTCACAGTTTGAATTCATAGATAATTTCTCAAAACTGAAAAATCAAGAATTTATTTTGAAATATGGAATTAAATATCAAAAGTAATACCTGAACAATTAAAACTGGAGGGGATTCCTCTAGGGAGTGAGAAATGAGTGGAGAAGGGTAAAGCAAGGGCCTGTTTCTTTCTTTTTTTTTACTATTAGATTTTTAGATTATTTGATTTTTAGATTATTTGATACATAAATTTAACTTTTAAGAAATGGGCAAGGAAAATTGAGTGAAACAGGAAAAAAGTTAAAAACCAAAGAACTAAACAAAGAGCAGATAATACTAAGCAAGATCAAAAGACAAAGACCCATTGGGGTGCCTGGGTGGCTCAGTGGTTAAGCTAAGCATCCCACTTCAGCTCAGGTCATGATATGGCAGTTCTTGAATTCGAGCCCCATGTTGGGCTCTGTGTTGACAGCTCAGAGCCTGGAGCCTGCTTCAGATTCTGTGTCTCCCTGTCTCTCTGCCCCTCCCCTGCTCATGCTCTCTCTCTCAAAAATAAATAAAGATTAAAAAAAGAAAAGACAAAGACCCAAGAATACAATATCAGTGAGCTCTAAACATAGATGTTTATAAGTATAAAACATAGAAATTATGCACGATATATAGAAATAACTTCAAAGTCTTGACCAAATAGGTAACTTTCTGGCAAATATTAATTACCTGTACTGATACAGCCGAGAAAAGAAAAATAGCCAAGGGAACCATTAACAAAAATACCCTGAAACTATCCTCTAAGCAAAAATACTAAGGACAGATCCCTTACACAAGAATACTAAGGAGTAGTTTAGTAAGGGATACCCTTCAAAGAGAAAATATTAGGTAATTAAAACAGATGATAAAAATCTCTATTCATTTAAAAACGTCAGAGTTATATTGAGCAAAATCTCATTTAGATAGCACAAGGGAAAAAAAACACTTCAGGTGAAACTTAGAGATGCTAAAATTTTAAATAAAATACTAGTAAATCCAAATTAATTTATATTCTGTAATTAGGATCTAGTTTACAAATGTAACAATATTAGGAATTTTATTTACCAAATCATTACATTAATGAATGTATACATTTATAATGTTACATGTTATAATGAATATCAAAACATCACATTGTACATCATAAATTTAGACAATTTTTGTCAGTCACATCTCAAGAAAGCTGAAAAAAATCAAAATAAAAAAAACAATAAAGTTTCAGTAGATGCCAAACACCAGGTGATAAAGTTTAACATCCATTTCTGATTAAAAAAAAAAAAACACAACTTCTAAGAAACTAAGGACATAGAGATTCTTCTTTACCGTGTTCTGATACCCAAGGCCAACTTCTTATGTCCACTGAGTCACTGAAACTAGTTTTCCAGAACAATGTTTTGTCAGAACAATGAAAAGGGAGTCTGAGAAACATTGGGTTATGCAATGTTACATAGGTTTCTCTGCTAAAAGACTACTGAGTACCTGTACCTTCATTAAATTGCTGGAGACACACTGCCAATAATAATAATAATAATAATAATAATAATAATAATAATAAAAGTCAAAACATCTAAATGACCTAAATGTCTAACAAATTATGGTCTATTTATGCAAGAAAATCTTTTGAAGCCTTTAGAAATTAGTGTAAAGAAGTAAATACAGCTATATAGAATATTTTTATTATACAGCTGATTTTAAAACTTCATGGTACAAAACAATATACATAATACGCTATTTTACAACAGAAGCATACATTTTCACATGTGTATATGCATAGAAACAAAGTTTCAGAAAGTCTAGATATAAAGAAAAAGTTAACACATTATTTCTGGTTGGTGACACTGTAGGCAATGTTTTAAAAATGTTTTGTGTTTCATATTTCCTAATGTTTCTATAATGAACATACAAAAATATTTTAAACGTTAAAGATGTAAAAATATCACCAAGCAAGAAATATATACCAGAAAAAATTTAAATTTAATTCAAATTGGCCTACTGTTTCAGAGCTTCAATATATTATTTCTGGCCAGTTATAATAAAGCCAATGGACCAGAACAAATTCTTTAATAATTAAATATACTATCACTTATAATAAATCTATCTTTAAAAGATTCAAAGGTTACATCTAGAATGCTAATGCTAAAGAGAAAAACAATCATGTTGCAAACAATATTAAAACCTTGAGACACCAAAACACACTGTCTTCTTATATTTGGGAGTGTTGACACAAAAATCACTTCTAATCTAGAAGTAATGACAAAAATAAGAAAACTATAGTCATCTTAGTTGATGTTGTGTTAGGGCAAAATAGGATTCAGCTTAGAACACTGGCACTGGATATTTTCACTGAAAATGTCATTTCATCTTGATGGCTAATTTGCATATCACCTCAAGAATAGTCTGTTTCAAGGACACCATGTTTATGAGTATTGAGCTCTTCATTCCTGTGTGAGAAGAAGAAGGAAAGCTCAAGGACATGAATGGAAAGATCCTCCAGATTTTCTCCCTCTCTCTATTCATTTGCAGTTGCAGCAGTAGAGCAAAGGCACACAACTATTTAGAAGGATTTGCATTTGGCAAATCCTTAATTGTTCTTCCACCACTTGAACAGATACCTCCAGGAAAAGAGTTATGGCAAAGTTTTCATCCAACATCCTGGGTTGGAGTAGATCTTACTCTGGAGGCCAAAGAAAAAGAAGCCAACTGCTTTTCATTTTTTTCACTTAAAAAAAAAAAAAAAACGACAGAATTCTCTGTTCATATGAGTTTGAAAATGAATCTTCTGGTCTTGAAAGAGCATAGATAGCCTGAAAGGGTGTAATTGGATCACACAGAAGCCCTGAAGCTCTGTGCCCTAATCCTGTGACATAGATTCCATCCATAGTCAAACTCCAAAGACTGCCAGAGAGAAAGTCAGAGAGCAACCCCCAACACCCTCTTCTTTTAGTCTCATGAGGAAACCCTCTGGACTAGCTTGTCTTCTGGACACCAAATAATGTCATGGTACTTGCTAATACGAACTGTGAGTTGTTAAGAAAGCTAAGCCCCCTAATACAAGTAATTGTTTGTGTCAGATTCAGATTTAACAAGTACTATTTATGTGCCAGGTGAATTATATACTTTTGGCTGATCCTTAAAACAACTCAGCAAGGTTAGCATTAGAATTCCCATTTTATAGAAAATTATACAACTCAGAGCTGTTAAGTGACTTGTCAAGAACTACCCAACCAATAAGCATCAGAGTCAAAATTTGAACCCAGATCTGAGTTGATCTGACTTTAACCTGTGTCCTTTCCTCTTTCTATTAACCTGACAAGGGCCCAATTTTAATGGTGTGTATGGATAAGATACTTGTAGTGCAGAACTGAAGGGTTTATTAGCTGCTCTCCTATGAGAATCTGGTGTGATAGTCACAAAATACAAAAGCAGAGAACTAAATCTTACCTGGAGGTGGAGATCAAAGACAGCCAATTCCTCTCAACTTGCTCAGCAAGAGGCTGGACCCCACTCCACAGACTGAAAGAGGAAACTGGGGTGAATTCTACAGCAGCTCTGAGCAGTTCTGCCAGGTGGGGAGAGCCTGGATGGACACAGACAGAGCAAATTAGGGGAAAGAAAAGATGAAGGGCATGGTCTCACCCCTGGGCAATTTCGACTCTTTCCTCTTTCCTCCTGGCCTCTTTTCTCTGGCAGTCTGCAGAGAACAGGCCACGCTGGCAAAGCCACTGACGTGCATCTCAGCTCCCAGGGCACAGAGAGAGCTGAAGCTTTTGAGCCATTTCTTTGCAATTTGCTGCAAGTTTAAGGCCACACGTGATAAAGCTTTCTGTATGGGAGAGAGTGAAAAGAGAAAAGACCACTTGTGATCTTACTTGCTGATTCCCAGAAACAAAACTCTGCAGGGGGCAGAGGGGAAGGGAACAGAAGCAGGAGGAGGGGCGGAAGTCTGTAACAAAGATCCCTCCTTCTCCTTCCAAGAAGTTTTTAAGCCAGCTGCTCCTTGAGACATCATTGGGATACTTCTGTTTAAAAAAAAAAAAAAAAAAAAAAAAGGCTCATAGGCTAAATCTCTGTGTGGTTTCTTTTCCCACTGGGATTCTAGAATCTTAGGGAACACATACCAGGTCAGGATCAAGGCTCTGCAGAGTTCTTTCTAGAAAGAGTTAATTCTCAGACACGGGATCAGTTGCTCACATCCACAATTTATAAGGATCCAATAGAAAAAGAAAAAAACAAAACAACATTGGATTTTTCGGCATCCACTTGTTTATGCTATCTAAATTCTAAGGAGAGAGAACTCCTTGCACTGAAAAATTCTAAAATTACAATAAATTCTTTTTCCAAGAGTACCATTTGAGGAGGATTCTGAGCCATATCAGCTTGCATTTGGTTATGGTAATAAATGAATTTGCTACCGGTATCATCCAAGATCCATCATATTCTTAAATGGCTGTGACTCTGACCTGGTCACTAAACTTTACTGAATTTCAGCTTCTTCCTCTGTGAAGCAGAATTTTTATTCAAATTAAAATAGATTCATGGGGCTCTCTTAAAGATTAAATTATATGAGCAATTCAGAAGTATATTCCAAATAACAAAATGTTATAAATGACTGGAAAGTATCATCATTACATATACAATTTCAGTTCACACAATGGTAAGGATCATTAACCGAAAATCAAAGGTTATAAGCACATTTCACTACAAATGAAAAAAAAAAGGATACAAATAAAGTGATAAATCGTACAATGAGGCAATGGTACATTCAGAGTCTGAAAGACCAAATATTTTATTTTAGCAATCAAACTAGCTTTTGCTAGTGAGCAAGCATTGCAATAGGTCTTGTATTTTCAATGTGTTTAACAGTGTGGCCATTAGTGCATTCAAAGGGAAGAAGTGTTTACTATCCCAAAGTGCAAAGAGCCTACGTTTCCTCACCAACAAATGGAATTTTCCTGAGAGTGTAATTTGGTCTATCCTCAGCTTACTCAAGTTCACTCTCTAACATGATTCCTTTCCTGACCTCTTCAGTCCACAGTTAAAGTTACAGTTTTGAAGGTACATACTACTTACTTTAATACAATATTCAGCACTTCTCATATGTAGTCTTTCATTGGACTATATCCTACTTCCGTATTTTAGATCAGCAAACTTTTCCTGCAAAGGGTCAAATAGTAAGTGTTTTAGGTTTTGCAGGCCATATAAACTTTACCATAACCACTCACCTCTGCTGCTGTGGTGTGAAATTAACCATAAATGAATGAGTTTTCTAGGGCTGCATTAACAAAGCCCCCACAAACTGGGGAGCTTAAAACTGCAGAACTTTATTATCTCAGTTTTGGAAGCTAAAAGTCCAAAACTAAGGTGTCAGCAGAGCCATGCTCCCTCTGAAACCTAAAGAAGGGATTCTTCCTTCTCTTCTACCGTCAATGTTTGCTGACAATTGTTGGAATCGTAGATTCATTACTTTAATCTCTGCCTCTATTGTCTCATGACCATTGTCTCTTATGTGTCTCTGTCTTCTCCTATTCTGAAAAGGACAGTCATAGTGAATGAGGACCCATTCCAGTGACCTCATCTTAACTTGATCACATCTGCAAAGACCCTATTTCCAAATAAGGTCACATTCACTGATACAGGGCATTAGGATTTCAACATATGTTTTTAGGGGGGAGGACACAACCCCTATCATTCATATTGTCATTTCCCTCCTTACCTGAGTTGTTTCACATAACTGTTTTAATCACTCACTTGCACAGCGCATCACTTCCTTTGTCCATTGGTCAATTTGTTCTTCCTTGACAAACCACAGTTGGGTTAAGTTCAAATTTCTCTCTACTCTGTATTTACACCCACACTGTTTTAAATAGTTGAATAAAAACTCATTAACATGACATAAGGGCTTATCTTAAATTTATGACCACTGACCTCACTGGGTCTTAGAGGCATTGTTAAGCATAACTTTTAATAACTTAATCTCTTTCCCTTTCTTCCAAATGACTTCTCTCAAACCCTCAACATTTCTTTCCCAACTTTCATTATCAGCTGATGACCTTGCTTAGGGAACTCACTGATGAAATCAGGAGAGAAATATTGTACTCTTCCCCCACCACATTTACTCTCCATCTGCATTTGTATTCATCTGATTTGTTTCCTCTTCTCTTCCTATGGTTGCATGGTCCATGTTTCTAAGACCAAGCTTTCATCTGTACTCCTTACCTAAAATTCCTTTTCTCCAATTCTTGACCCACCAGCTCTTTTTTTTTTTTTTTGCCTCCACAACTCTACCACAACTACTTTCATAAATAACATCAAAGGCCTTCACATTAATAAATTCAGCAGTTTCTGGGCTTCATCTTCATTGAGCTATTAGCAGAATTGCATACCATTGATTGTGTCCTTCTCTTTAATCCATTCTCTTCACCCGGTTTTTATAACCCCACACTCTCTTTGTTTGCCTCCTGGCTAAGTGGTCATTTCCTGTTAGTATTCATTGCCACACAGCACTCCACAGTTCAGTCCTTAGAATATCTTCTTTGCCCTATCTACATATAATCCCAAATCACCTCATCCAGGCTCATGGCTTAAAATGTCATTTATAATTTAAGATGAACCAGGTTAAGAAAAACTTGGTAGTCCTATATTTGAAGCAGGAGTTTTCAGTCTGAGTGACATATATCTTAGCTCTGCACTGAAAAGGTCTAAAACCAATGATCAACCAGTAGCAATAAGTGCAACCAGCACTGAATTGGGTCTGTAAATGCTATATAAAAGGAATTATGGCTTCTCAATATGTGATTACTACCAGGTCTGAGAATATAAGATGAGCCCAGAATATTTGTCATACAAAAAAGCAGGGAGGCCTTGAAGACTAGATTGTGCCCCAGTAACTCATGGGTGAATTTGAACAAGCTCCCACTAACCAACTGTAGGAAATTTTCATCATTAAGAAAAGTAACTGTAATGGTTGAAATATATAGAATGTTTAAATTCATGAATTCATAGCACTCCAAAAAAAGAACATGTTAAACTCTGGATGCTTCTAAGGAACCACTTCAATACATTTAAAACTGGTACTTAGGAGAAAAATTACATTTATCCTGTCTTTCCTAGTCATTAGAATCATTAAAATGTGAAGACATTTTTTTTTTCTGTATAGAAGTATTCCAAATAATGAACAAAAAAAGGATGAAAGAATTAGAATACCATAATTTTCAAACCTCTAATGAATTAATGCATCTAGGTAATGGTCACCAACGATCAGTAACAATACAAAAAAGAAGGAGCTATTTTAAATATCTCGATGGACGCTAGAAACTTGAAATATCACCTCTGAAATAGCACTCTTCCCTAGTTCAAAAAAAATCTTACCAAACCTCAGTTTAGATCTAAATATCAGTTCTTAAGAAATGCAGGGAAGAGAGGAGTGAGTGCCTGGGTGGCTCAGTTGGTTAAGCCTCCGACTTTGGCTCAAGTCATGATCTCATGGTTCATGAGTTTGGGCTGTGCATCCGGCTTTCTGCTGTCAGCACAGAGCCCACTTCAGATCTTCTGTCCCGCACACTCTCTACCCCTCCCCTGCTTGAGCTCTCTCAAAAATCAATAAGTGTGTGGGGAAAAAAAGAAGAAGAAATGCAAGGAAGAGAAGAACATGCTAAATGAAACTATAAAGGTGCAATCAGCAACACCCAAAATGGAGACTCTCATTAAGACAAACAACTATTTTTTTTTTCCCAACCAAAAGTGCAAGAAAGAAAGGAAATGGGTCCAATTAATAAATGAACCATAGACCTTAAAAGACACCTCATCAAAGAGGATATAAAGATGGTAAATTAGTATATGAAAAGATGTTCCACATCATTAGTCATCAGGGAAATGCAAGTTAAAGTGACAGTAGGACACCAATACACGCCTATTAGAATGGCCAGATTCCAGAACACTGACAACACCAAATGCTGGTAAGGACTTAAAGCAACAGGGACTCTCACTCATTGCTGGTGGGAATATAAAATGGTACACACACTTTGGAAAACAGTTTAGCGGAATCTTATAAAACTAAACATATTCTTCCCATAAGATCCAGCAACCACACTTCTTGGTATTTACTCAAAGAGTTGAAAACTTACATCCACTCAAAAACCTGCAACACAGATGTTTTTAACAGCTTTATTCATAAAGGCTAAAACTTGCAAGTGATCATTTTGTCCTTCAGCAGGTAAGTAAATAAATAAACTGTGGTCCATCCAGACAGTGGAATAGAATTCAGTACTAAAAAGAAATGAGCTATCCAGCCATGAAAAGACATGGAGGAACTTTAAATGCTTATTTCTAAGTGAGAGAAACCAACCTGAAAAGGCTATATACTGTATGATTCCAACTATATGACATTCTGGAAAAGATAAAAGTATGAAGATAGTGAAAGACCAGTGATGGGCAGAGGTTAGGGCTGGCAGGGGGCGGGGGGCGGTGATAAATAGGCAGAACACAGAGGATTTTTAAGGCAGTGAAAATACTCTGTATGATACCATAAGGACAGATACATGTAATTATACATTTGTCCAAGCCCTTATAATGTACAACACCAAGAGCGAATCCCAAGGTAAATAATGGACTTTGGGTGATTTAGGATGTGTTCATAAGTGGTCCATAAATGGTAAGTTCATTAATGGTAACAACTGTGCCACTCTGATAGTGAGATTGGTAATGGGGAAGGCTGAGTGTACAGGGGGCAGGGGTATATGGGAAATCTCTGTACCTTCCCCGCAGTTTCACTGTGGGCATGAGCTTCCATCATGTGGAACAACCATGTGGCTAATATGCCTTCTTTATTTTCACTGTGTTCCTCATCCTATTCATGATTTGTAGAAGACATAATTAGAGCCCCCAAAGAAGTCCACCCCATCATCCCCAGAAAATTATAAATATGCTAAGTTACATGGCAAGAGATTTTTCAAATGTAATTAAAGATCTTAAAGTAGGGAGATCCTCTTGGATTATCTGGGCCCAATATCATAACATGAGCCCTTAAAAGAAGAGAACTTTCCTAGCTGGAGACAGAAGGATGCAGCAGAAGTCAGAAAGTCTCAAAGTGTAAGAAGGAATCAGGTGACATCACCAGTTTGAAGATGACGAATGGTGAGAGAAGCAATGCCTACAGGAAAGAAGTTGCCTGAAGACCCTGAGAAAGGCTCTCAGACATCAGCTGGCAAGGAATGGGGGACCTCAGTCCTATGCCACAAGGAACTGCATTCTGCCAACCACCTAAATGAGTTTAGAAGTGGATTCTAGAGACTTCAGAGAGGAGCCCAGGCTGGCAAACACTTTGGCAAATACTTGATTTCAGTCTTGTGAGAGACCAGAAAGAGAGTCCTGCCAAGTCCCTCTAGACTTCTGACTGGCCAAGCTCTGACCCAATAAGTCACCATTGTTATGGTAATTGATTGTTGGTTTGAAGTCACCAAGTTTGTGGCAATTGATTATAGCACAAATAGAAAATGATTACATAATCGTTAACTACTTTGCACTCTCTGAAGACCAGGACTTCTCTGAATTCACCTTTGGCATCTTACAGGGAAAAGGCAGTCAAATTGACAGTAGAGTAAGCACAAAGTATGAACCAATATGTTCTCCCTATGCCCATCCAGCTCTAACTGGCCCCAATAGCCCAAAAGATCTCAGCCAGCATGGGCAGCCTGATAATTCTTCAAATCTGACAAATTTCACCAGAAGTGGACCTTGGGCTCCTTTATAAAGCCAGCAATGATGTCAGAAAGAATGATCAGGACCTGAAGTAGCTTCAGGATTAAATAAGCTTAAATCGATCCTAATAAGCAGAAGAGTTTCTAATTATTTAAGAACTGATTTTATTTCATTTTTCTTTTCATTGGTTGGGGTGTACCCATATCCCGAGCTCCACCTCACATGGCTCAGCAGGCATAGGGGTGATCTGTAGAGCTGACCCAGGACACACTAAACTGATCTCCAAGGCAATGGCTATGGTCATCCCTTTGCCCTGGGCTGAATCTCAGGAGCCATTAGAAGATACCTATCATCACTTCTCTTACCCAACCATGTAAATGAACATTTACTTACCTACGAACAGTTTTGATAGCACCTAGTTGCAGGAAGGAGATGAAGGTTGGGACTGGAATTTCCAGCTATTGCTTCCTTTCCACTGAGGACATCACTGTAAAAGGAAAGCCTTGGGAGAGGGATAAAGTTAACAACTCAAGAAGATACTGTCAATCTTCTGCCCTTTTGTGCTGTCTGTGATTGGAAGTATGTGTGTGTATACAAAAGAAAGAAAATATATGTATACAGTGTGTGTAAATACTCCACTGATAATAACTTGCCTAAGACACAGAAATACAAATGATAGATAGTTAGTTCCTTTGGTGAGGGATAGTTTGGGGCCAAAGTGAAGAAAGCTACAAATATACCAAGTTTAGGAGCAGGGATTTTGCCTAACAGGGAATGAGGGAAATCTGTATGTGTAGCTTAAAGAATTAATTCCTTGGAAACTGTGGATAAAAATCACATTTGCTTTTTTTTTTTTTTGTCTGAAGACTGTATGTTTGAGCTAGTCAAAACACTCTGAATGTTTTGAATCGTTCAGTTTTCTTAAAAGCTTTCAAAGATGCAGAACAAAAATTATTCTGAGTCTGTACAACCAAATATCCCATGTATTAGGCATCAACAGACAATCCGTATAGGACAAATTGTAGTATTTATAGGATCAATGGCAGAGCTATTTTATAGAACTCTGCAGCTGAATGCCAGAAATCTAGGTATGTTGATTATGGTGTTAACTATTTGATTAGACAAAGAACACAGCTTAGTCACAGAGAGATGAAACTAAGAATTCATCAGCAATAGGCAAGGAAATGTGACCATGGGGGAAAAAGCCCCCAGGAGTCCTTAGGAATTGTAGGAGTCCAGCAGATGTGTCACTATAGCACGTATAGCTGGGCACAAACCACTGCATTTGGATATGAGAGGGAAGGATGCGTTCAAAACTGGACGGAGGGCTTGGATTGTACAAATAACTACATCAAACATAATACCACAGAATTATATTTATATTATACATTATTTTCACATTGTAACATCCACATTGATCATCTGTGACACAATTCTAATAATTTTGAGTATATGTTTACTGTAATATTTATATATATATATATATAAAAATCAAGAGGCACTTCCAGTAATTCTGGCAAAAAAGGAGCATCAATATAGTGTCTATGCTAAAAAATAATAAAAATAAATACAAATTAATATTTTTTCTGTACAATTTTATGTTTTACAAAATATTTATCAGCCATTAACTAAATCACTTAACAAATAATTTTGATAGGAAGATACGAAGTATTGCTACATGTATTAAGTGTGAGATACAGGTGTAAGGACAAGATTTACTTCAATTGCAAAATGATCCCTTAAGTCCAATGCTTCACTCTTGGGTTTCTAAAAGTTGATAAATTTGGAGAGTTGTTAATAAACACGTTCAGTTGAGAGTGGTAAGAACTACCTTGTTAAAAATTGTCATGTGCAAAAGACATTCCCTATACTGTTACTTTGGTTGCTACTTATTTGAAAATATTGCTTTTCAGGAATACTAAATTAAGTTAATGTAATACTCTCTGGTTTGCAAATACCCTACAAACTCAAATATTTGGGACTTACGAATATAAACTTTCTAATGGCAGTTTTTTTGTTTGTTTTTTTCTTCTTAGGAAAAGGAAGAAATAATGACTGATCAGAACAACTGTTCCATCGGGAATCAGAAATCCATTTCAATACCAAAAACCAAATCAAATTAACCAAATCAGCCCAAACCAAAAATATTCTACATTCAAATTAAAGTTCTTTCAGTTGCATATACAAATATTACGACAGAAAGCCAGGAAGAATTCTTACTCATTGTTTTGCACTGAAAGTTTTGAATATTTTTAAAAGCACCGATTTTTCATTTTCTGATTTGCATGACCAAAATCTTTAGGAAGAAATATCAAGGGGTGGGTGGTTCAGTGATATTTATTTCCAGTGCTCATCAACTGACAAACTGTCCTTGTTGGAGCAAAAAATGGTATGCATACTTCTGTGAGAATATATCAAGAAATGAATTGACACTCAAATGGAAAACAAAAACAAAAGCAAACCACCAGTTAAGCAAACACAGTATGGTAAAAATCCCATGCAGATATTTGACAGAATATTAAAAAATAGTGATTATATAAAAAAACTAATGAATAAATATACACTAAATGTCAAGCCAATAAACCCCACTAACAGGTAATATATAGGTAATTAGGATTATTATTTAAAGATAGCAACACTATAGTACGGGTTTATGCTTATAACTAGCTAAAACATAATATGTGATAGGAGTTTTTAAGCCATAAAAATAACCAGTTAATTTTCAAAAGAAAGTTGACGGAAAATTCTAACCAACAAGTTATATACACAAAACATCTTTAAACAACTACTTTTAATTTTACATTAAATCATCTAAATATTTTGCTATTATATAGGGAGTAAAATTACTAGAATTAAAAGAAAAAAAAAGTCCTTCCCATCAAAAGGTACTCAAGCAGCAGTTTCTAAGTTCTAAGGGCTAATTCACATTCCAAAGCATGTGTACGTGCTGACTGTATAATGGAAGTCAGGGCTGAAATATGGATCCATTAAGTGTCTTTACTCAAGAGTAACTGATAACTAAATTGGTTTATCACAAAGATGGAGGGGTGTGCTGGCATGATCCTTCACATTTTATGTTGTGTTCACTCCTGATCCATAACCTTTTTTTTTTTTTTTTTTTTTCTGCTTTCTGGTACCATGGACTGCACAATGAAACTGGGTGTGGAGAGTTGTAACTTAGGTGAAGGGTATTCTTATTCCTTATTATGGCGGAGAATTTCTGATCACTTTTCCTTGACTATTTTGAGTTAGAGAAGTAAAACTGAAGAGAAGTCACACTTGTCTCCTATGAGTTTGACTTTCTTTTTTTTTAAAGAGGAAAGGAAGAATTCCCTGCTAAAATTTGTTTCATTTGAAATAGGTACTTTTACTGACACTGAAATTTTAGTTAAAGCAGTAAAGCTTTAACATGATTTTTAAAAATTTATGTTTCTGTTAATGGATTTCAAATTCCGACCTACCATTTGATCAGTCTTGGTAGATGAAGTAGTGGGTGTAGTTTATTGCCTGGTCAGTGCTTCATCTGTGAAAGTCAAGATTAATAAGATTTAATTATTTTTAGTAATGAAGATAATGTATTTGGCTTTTTAACAGTGTTATAATTTACTAAAATATAATCTACATTAACAGACCATTTACTTTAAAACAATCTAATCCATGAAAAATTGCTGGATAATACATTCCTTTTTTTTCTGGACAAGTCTGAAAAACTCAGGCTATAATTTGTGCATTTCATCTAATTAAATTATTGGTACTAAGTTTATTTTTATCTATTTCATGTATTTCTTTAACCTGCCATAAAACAATTTCCTCCCTGAGGCATGAGAGATATTAGAAAAATAATTAAATATTCTTTCCAGTTTTTTATGACACAATAGTAGTTGTAATTCTATCAATATATTTAGCGTCTCTCTACCATGGAAGGTCATTTTGTGAGTTTCGTTGTAATTGAATAACAAAAAAATTTTTAAACAGCTTTGTTTCAAAAACTATATCAAATTTAAATATTTTTGATAGTACTTACATACGATGACAATATTACTCTCTGAAGCATTTTTTTAATGGATTATTTGCATGCTTAAAGAACCTCTTCTTGATGTGAAGCAATGAGGAAACTTTTCTGAACAGGTACATGTTCACTATCTATCAAAAGAAGGGTTGACTTCTCTTCTGTTGAGGGAAGCAGAAATCCGTGAATACCAATGCCTTTCAAGTAACCAACCTTAGGAGTAGAATATGGAGAAGAACCCGCTACCTTTAGCTAGGAAATTTGGGCTCATTTTGCAACCTGAAGCACAGAGCAAAAGCTAATTTTGTTTTCCATCTTTATACAATTCCATATAATTTACAGCCTTACTGTACTAAAATAATTTACGGTGGATCAGTATTTATGAATCTGCAGATGTTAACATGGAGTTCCACCAAATAATAAAGCTTTAAGGTTTAGTTTTGGGTCTTTAAACATATTTAGCAGGACAATGCCTAATTATTTTTTGTCACCATTGTTAACCTGTTTGAATGATGTGATAATATGAATGTAAAGATCACTCAGGTAAGGTAAAAGCACCATTAGGTAAGGTAAAGTTGCAGCATGGTAATAAATGAAATGTGTGAGGTGATACGCAAATTGCCATGGTATGTAACATAGACTGAAAAATCTGTTCTTCTCTGATCATGGATTATTAGTGCTAAACATTATAAATACCATGCAAACCTCAATTTAAGTTGCTGAATGCATTGTTTATAGTTTAATTAATTCAGTGCTTATATGCACTGAATATGCAATCAATCAAATATGCAATAAGAATTTGAGTATTTACTAGAGGAACAAACTGATATGAATACAGGTGGACCTAAAACTTGCATATTTTGCCCTGATTAGAGGTTCTAAGAGTAATTTAATTTTGGAATGCTCCTCGCTTAAAACGGCTAATTGGTCTCCTAATCTTATGGTGGAATTTTGTTGAACAGATTAGAAAAACAGACGAACAGTATCAGCAAATTCAGTTTCCTTTCATGGAAAAATCACAAGAGAAATGAATGACCTAGAACAACGATCATAAAGTATTTTGCTGCTTGTTAGAAGCGAAGGTGAATGAAAGAAACTCAGTTTGGTTTCGAAGTATACAGATATTTTAGATATCAATGGTCTGGAGGTAACCTATGAGCATTTGAAATTTTACTGATATTTTTCTTTCCACACACAGGAGCTGAGAATCCCTAGAATAAGGAGAATCTTGATTTACCCCAGGCTATGAAAGCTTACAAAAGTTGGTTTTACTGGAGGCTTCTGCCAGTTTGAAAAGACAGTTTATTTCCAAAGTGGAATATAAACCAGGAAAGGCATTAAGTGGGACTTAGGGTTAGGATGGAAGAAAGGACAGTAAGATCCTTACTGTGGTTTTCATTATTATTTTAGAAATATTTCAAAAGGTGAGGACAATGGAGATCCCCATACTGACAGCGAAGCACCAAAAATACCTCCCAAAGTAGGCTAGAAATGATTTTTTGATCAGTCACTTCTCATTGGTCAGGAATTGTTCATCACACAAATATCACTTATATAAAGCAGTCATTTCAAACTTTAGACTTTATTTACAATGATAATTTGCATATCTTTATTACTTAGAAAATAATTTATATTTTTCCACCATTTAAACAAAGAATAGGCCTGAGTCTCATGCCTCTTGCACAGCTTTTACCTTCAAAGAAAGTTCTCTGGGCACGTGACAGGGGACGTCGGGAAATCGCAAATCAAGAGAGGCAGGGGACATGAGGAAATCACAATACATACATGTAATACGAACAGTCTGCACATCGTACAATCCCTTTTCTTTAGTTTTACTGGGATTGCAATAATTAGGGGTTTGTTCTGGAAGTCGATCAAAACGGAACATATAGAATTGGGTATTCTGTTTTTAGAAAATGAGTATTTTCTTAAACATGAGGACATTCCTTCACTTGCCAGATGAAGACTAGTATAGATCTATCCCTGTACAGTGCTACTATCTTCATCTACTGAGAGAAAACCAAATCTTATAGAAATGACAAATAAAATTTTATAGTTTAGAAAAAAGCTAAAGTGGTGTTCTCACCAAGGAAACGATATCCTAAAGGTTGGCTTAGTTGGATACCTGGAAAGGACATTATAATAGCATGCTGGAAATGACAGTGATGACACTCATAGTAATACCTGGTCTTTTCCTTAACAAAGAGCAACCCCTAGCATCAAGGTCACCAGCTCCGAGTTTTCCTCCCATTGGGTTTATGGCTATCTGTACAATGATCCTTTTTCCTAAATGGGCTACAGATTCCTTCATTTGAAAGACCTGAGTTTACCTAAATGGCACCTATAAATAGGCTCATATAAAAATGTAGCAAATTGCAACAAACACACTGGCACCACAGGGAATAAGCTCTGGAGTTGGAAGTGAACACAGTAATACTGCTGTCACCGAGGAGGGGGAGAACATAGCCAGCAGAAAAGATCTTTCTATGCCCCTGGTCATCCTTTGGGATGTACTGAATGTGTATGAAAGGGTCATCCTTGATCTCTATTTTTTTATTTCAATGGACTTTTAGCTGTAATATCCTGGCAACTGATTTTTGAAGAAAAAAAGGTGATCAATCTGCCTGGACTGATTAACACAATTTGGGAATGAAGAGGTTCTAAGTGCTTAGGCCACCATTATTTCAGGTACTTTAAAACAGAATAAACACAACTGGGTCATTTGCTAAGACCTCTACTCTGGCAGCCAGACTGGCCAGCTTTGACGCAGCACCTGCCAATACACAGTTATAGACTCGTGACTGTTTTGCTCACACTACTTGCTCCACAACCTATATTTGTGCTCACTTTCACCTGTGTTTTAGATACTTGTCATACGACATTTGGAGAATGGGGAAAGATTTGTTTTCTTAAGTAATTAGGTACAAGAGATAAACGAGCACATTTTTTCCCCCTCTTCTCTTATTTGCAAGGGAAGGAAAACAGTTAATGTCACTGGGGAAATGCATTGGACTCACAGTAATTTTTGCAAACATGAGACACAAAAGCATTACTAAGAAAATGGAAAACAACTCAATAAATCCTGAATAGTGAAGACCTAGTGTTAACACAAAAATATGAAATTATTCTCATTTTTGAAGCAGAGTCTGCATCTATTTGATCCTTTTTCATATTTTCCTACTTAATGGGAAATCTGCCCTGAAATTGTGTTTACTTTCGATTATATTATGTTTGCCTTATTTGAAAAATGCCATAGGTTAATGTAAAATCACTGCTTTGGAAAGGAAGAATATTCATTTATGAGAAACAAAAGCATTTTTAATGTAAACACTCTTTGCTATGACTTCAGAGGAAAGAAAAATTAGAAATCACCATCAAGGTTAACTTAGAAGCTAAGATCGTTCTTCCGTACATAGTACTGAAGGAGGAATTATAACCAAAAAACATTGGCAAGAAATGGATACCAATTATAAAAATTCAGTATTGGTTATGCAAGTCTTTCTCTTTGGGAGACATGAACCCCAAAGTGACCTAAAAGTTCAAAGTTCCTAGGAAAAAACATTCTTTGTGGCATCTTCCTTTAATTGGCATAAAATAACTATCTGATTATCATTTAAATTAGAATAGGTAGATATGTGGCTGTCCTTAGACCTCCGTGCAAATGATTCATCACTCTCTTACTGGGCTTGGAGATAGATACAATGTATAAAAATGGTGATTAAAATATAACTTTATAAAAATGTTTCCCTTTTCCTTTTTTAAAAAAAAGAGTTTACTATCTACAGAAACAAAAAAAATCTTTATATTTACATCAAGATAACTATTCATGACAAATATAATAATATGAAATAAAATATTGAAAGTGAGTATCAACTTTTTAAATAAGGTTTGGCTCACAGCATAAACAAGTGTAGATGAACAAATAAAAAAAAAAAAGACTTTCAATAATAGGCCCAGTACCCAAAATTCCCTCTATAATTTTCCCTGCCAAAAGAAACATGACAATGGGCCAGATTGCAGACAGAAGCTACCTTACCCCACGGCACGTGGAACACCACAACAAGGTTGTTGTCAGTGGGACCTTCACCACCCAAAGCCAATCTTCAACAGTTGCCCAGAATCAGGCTTTCACTACGTCAACAAACACCAAACCCTAGGTTGCAATTTTCCCCCTTCATCTCTCGCTATATGTCCCATAGTGGGTTTCTGTTTGCCTTTTTTTCTTCTTTTCTACCACACATTTTGCAGCATATTTAAGACATGGAAGGTCACCGTGAAGAGCAATTCCCCCAAGTCTCCTCTGGCAACTTTTCAGAATTCTAACCTAATTAAAAGATCGGACTTCAGCCCCTTCTTAGGTGTTTATGTATAAAGAATGCCATCCCCTTAAAAATAGTTGATTTGATCTTACATGAGTGACAGACATACTCACAGACAAACAGCTCCTATACATTCATTAGGCAAGCAGATTGGAAAATGCCTCAGTCTTCCAGGTTTAAGGCCGGCGATAGAGAGCCTCCAAGTGGTGCATTAGCATAGTACCAATCCCGTGGCCCTCTCACCAGCCTGTGAATACCCCCCCTCTTCAGAGGGCCCTGGACTGAAGCTAAATGGAGGAAGGCATTTGGAATGGCTGCCTCTCAGACACTCCAGAGTGAACTGCCTTCCGTTTGTTCAGATGTGCTGAGTCATCTGCCGCAGCTATTCTATGAATGACTAAAACCATAAAAATCTCTGTTGACATAAGCACATACATACACACAAGCATGCTCTCTCTCCTCTCTGTCACACACACACACACACACACACACACACACACACACACACACACATACACACACGATATCGGCAGGATGTAGAAGAATTCAAATAATGCTCTGGAACTTTCATCCGTCAGTACTAAGAGCAAAAGCTCCTTAGTTGGTAACTTACATTCACTGCACTGTTTCCCTGCTAAGCCGCCCCATTTCCTCTGTGAATTGTTTTCCTTTTTTTTTCCTTTATAACTTACTATATCACAGTGACCACTATATATCTTAATATGAATGTTACTAAAGTGTGGAGCCAGTAACCCTGGCTTTCAGTGTGCATGTGCGTGTATGTGTGTGAATATGTTTTACATGTATCTACGTGCGAGCTTATATACACACACACATATATACTTCTTCCTTAAAAAAAATCCTTGGAAGCTGGTGTTGCAAATGTGAAAGCTTCTCCGAGCAAGAGTTTTTAACAATGTACCTCACTGTAAAAATAAACACATAAAATGCGAAGAATTCCCAAATGCAATAGCTGTTTGCCCATCTTCTTGTATTTCTACAGTGTTGTGTCTAAGTGTTGTGCTGGCTTGAAAAGAGTCTGTGACAAGTCACTCTGTTGGGAAACACAGCTCATTATATCCATCGTCACTGGTTTTGCTTCAGGGTTGGGATCTCCTCTCCTCTTGGCTTCCCTTTCTCTTCCTCTTCTTCCCTGATGGCCTGGATCTGTTCTGAGGAATGCTGTTGGGGTGACTGGTCCAGGGATTGACTCTCTATGCCCGCCAACCGCTGTTCCTCTTCAATGACTTTCTTCCACATCTTGTGGTTCTGCAGGAGGTGTTGAGTTATTTGGCAGTAGATTTTCCTCCTTTTGAAAGTTTTCTTTCCTGAGAAAACACCAAATTACTTATTTGTGTGCTGAGTACATGGTGGTTATTTTTTTTTTCACATCATTAATAGGAGCTAAAGTACCAAACAGATACATATACCACTTGATTTGTGTATCATCATAATGTTGCTTTCAAGAGTGGGGAAATAAGAGGGGGATGGCAACCATCATTAATGTATCATGGTTACATCGAGACATACTGTGAACCGGATTTAATATCCAGTAATGCCCAATAAAAAGTTCTGCTTAAGTTTTGGTATTATTCTCAATACAGTCAGATCCTCCAGATTTTTCACCTGGACTACTGGAAGAACTTCTTGTTAGGTCTTCCTTTACTTTGTCAGCTAATTCAACCCACAAAAGTCTACAAGATTGATTTCTTTTAGGATGGTTTGAATGTTACTGTTCTGCTTCACACGGCCTAAAATATTAATTTCAAAGTCTTGTCAAAGTTCTCCCACAAGCTGGCACAAGCATGCTTTTGCAATCTTCCATCTTCCGCAGCGTGGCTTCTGTCTCTACTTCCATATATACACTGAACTCTTCTACTGTCCAGCAGGTACTGGCCCTCCTTCTCAAATGCTCTTCTCAGTCCTCAAAAGTTCATGCCCATTTATTATTTTAAGACTCAGATTTTACTGAATTGCTCCTATAAGAAATATTCTCTCCCCCTGTCTCCCCTCACTTTTCTAAACTCATTTCCCTCCATTCATGCTTCCAAGAGTACACACTGTTTTCATTTCTTTCCCTTCTCATTATCTTGGTATCTTTTTCTGATAACTGCATATCCAAAATCAGAAACTCTCATCCCTTCTTTCAATTATATAGTTCTATAAAAGGTTGTCAAACTCTACTTCCCCACCCACCTTCCCACAATATAGCCCTGTTGCAGCAGCTAGTCAATAGGTGTGACCCAAATCAGGTCAATCAGCGTCTTCCCTTGGGAATTTTCCCAACAGCATGGAATCAGTCAGGGAATGGGGGCTGGGGATCTTTTCTCCTCTTCCTGTTTATGTGAAATGAAGTGAATATAGAGCTGGCTAGATTTCCAGTCTCACATAGAAAGAAAGGTTGAAAGATCAAGCTGTCAAGCAGGTGACTCAGAGACAAGAGCAGGTGCAAGTAAGCGTGAATACTGGACAACATCCCCATTACCTGAACCAGTAATTTTCCCTTTTGTATATACTCACTTTATTGGAGTCTTGTCACTTGTAACAAAAACAATGTCCTCAATGATGTGCATTCTTTTATTTTTATTTTATTTAATTTTTTAAAGTTTATTATTTTGAAAAGGCAGAGACTGCACGAGTAGGAGAAGGGTAGAGAGAGAATCCCAAGCAGGGTCTGCAGCACTGTCAGCACAGAGCCCAACACGGGGCTCAAACTCACAAAAGTGTGAGATCCTGACCTGAGCCAAAACCAAAACTCAGACGCTTAACCCACTGAGCCACCCAGGTGCCCCAATAACATGCATTCTTTAGGGCACTTATCTTGCTCTCATATATTACAGGCCTTAGCCCCTCTACTAGACTACAGCTTCTTTTAGCGAGCCTTGTAAAGACAAGTATGTATCTTTTACAGAATGAGGCTCAGCAAATATGCATTTGATTAGTAAATAAATTACATTGTCTTGGTGACCAAAACATTTCATGTGTTCAACATGGAAATAGTAAGGACAATTTTCACAGAATTGTATCTCTTAAGGAACTATAATATCATCAACTTTGACAGATGAAACATAAGACATTTTAAAGACCTTTGATTTGATACCATAATTCGTTATTTAGTCTTCCAGTTCTTTATCTACTTATTAAGAACCTAATATGTACCAAGTATGGTAGGTTCTGGTCATTCACTGATAGACATAATGCCTGCCATCATGGAGCTTTTACTCTAGCTTTTACTCCAGCATGGAGTGAAAAGGTAGGTACAATCACACTGAGTCTTACAAAATCTTTTAAAGGTGCCAGAAAGAGACAAAAATTACTCAGCCAAGAGAATATGGCATGATGACCATGGCTTGGGCTAGGAAGAAAGTAATGAAAATGAAGACAAGTAGATAAATGTGAGACATATTTGTGAGGTTTAATCAACAGGACTTTGGCAACTGATTAGATGTAAGGAAAAAAAGAAGAGAGAGGAATCAAAGACAACCCTGAGCTGTCTGGCCTGAGCCATTGAGTAGGTGGTCATAAGATGTACTGAGAAGGCAATGTTAGGTGAGGAGATTTGAGGGAGATGCTGAACATGAAATGTCTGGGAGACCTTCAAGTGCAGAGGTAAAGTAAGAGCTAGACTTGAGTTTAGAAGAGGGTCTGCTTGCGGCCAGAATATAACTTTTAGTACCTTCATCCGAGTGGCCATCTTAGACTTAGACCAAGAATTTAGAAATTAGGCTAAGATCCCCTATTGGACTATGAACTTTCCAATGCACAGAAGCCAGGTCCCTCCTTTTGTGTGTATATTGTGTACAAAGCTCCAGACTTTAGTAAGAGTTTACTAGATGAATCACGTTCTTTCTAGTTTCTGTTCCACAGGTCCAAGTAAATGATGAAGTGGTGATGAGTGATAAAAATGACAATGATATGAAAAAGTGGTCCACAGGAAATTATGATCTAATGGGGACTACATTAAAGAGTTAACAGTACAAGTTACCAGGAATATCAGCAGGGATATTTGGGTTTACCTAATGAAGTAGTAATGATTTACAATGTACAATCTAAGAGGAAAAAAGAAGAAAAAAAATAGTAAGACTAGGAAAAAAATACATTAGCTATGAGATATGCCAAAGGAAGTAGATCTTTTGGAGGCCATCCGCCACAATTTTTATGGAAGTACTAGTGATTCTGTCAATAGTTTTATTATAATATACCACAAAAATTCTTTTATTTTACAGGGTAAGATCAATTTCAAAATACAGTTAAAAAAAAAGGACGCTGATAACCAGTAAGGAAACTGAATTAGTAATCAAAAATCTGCCAAAAAACAAGAGTCCAGGGCCAGATGGCTTTCCAGGGGAATTCTACCAAACATTTAAGGAAGAGTTAACACCTATTCTCTTGAAACTATTCCAAAAAATAGAAATGGAAGGAAGACTTCCAAGCTCTTTCTATGAAGCCAGCATTACCTTGATTCCAAAACCAGACAGAGACCCCACTAAAAAGGAGAACTACAGACCAATTTCCCTGATGAACATGGATACAAAAATCCTCAACAAGATATTAGCCAACCGGCTCCAACAATACATTAAAAAAATTATTCACCACGACCAAGTGGGATTTATACCTGGGATGCAGGGTTGGTTCAATATCTGCAAAACAATTAGCATGATTCATCACATCAATAAAAGAAAGGACAAGAACCATATGATCCTCTCAATAGATGCAGAGAAAGCATTTGACAAAATACAGCATCCTTTCTTGATAAAAACCCTCAAGAAAGTAGGGATAGAAGGAGCATACCCCCAGATCATAAAAGCCATATATGAACGACCCAATGCTAATATCATTCTCAAAAGGGAAAAACTGACAGAAAGAAATAAAAGGCATCCAAATCGGCCAGGAGGAGGTCAAACTTTCACTCTTCTCAGCTGACGTGATAATCTGTATGGAAAACCCAAAAGACTCCACCAAAAAACTGCTAGAACTGATTCATGAATTCAGCAAAGTTTCAGTATATAAAATCAACACACAGAAATCGGTTGCATTCCTATTCACCAACAATGAAGCAACGGAAAGAGAAATCAAAGAATCGATCCCATTTACAATTGCACTAAAAACCATAAAATACCCAGGAATAAATCTAAACAAAGAGGTGAAAAATCTGTGCACTGAAAACTATAGAAAGCTTATGAAAGAAATGGAAGAAGACACACAAAAATGGAAAAAGATTCCATGCTCCTGGATAGGAAGAACAAATATTGTTAAAATGTCAATACTACCCAAAGCAATCTACATATTCTTTTTTTTTTTTTTTAAATTTTTTTTTCAACGTTTTTATTTATTTATGGGACAGACAGAGACAGAGCATGAACGGGGGAGGGGCAGAGAGAGAGGGAGACACAGAATCGGAAACAGGCTCCAGGCTCCGAGCCATCAGCCCAGAGCCCGACGCGGGGCTCGAACTCACGGACCGCGAGATCGTGACCTGGCTGAAGTCGGACGCTCAACCGACTGCGCCACCCAGGCGCCCCAGCAATCTACATATTCAATGCAATCCCTATCAAAGTTACACCAGCATTCTTTACAGAGCTAGAACAAATAATCCTAAAATTTGTGTGGAACCAGAAAAGACCCCGAATAGCCAAAGCGATCTTGAAAAAGAAAACCAAAGCAGGAGGCATCACAATCCTAGACTTCAAGCTATACTACAAAGCTGTAATCATCAGGATAGTACGGTACTGGCACAAGAACACTCATATCAATGGAACAGAATAGAGAACCCAGAAATGGACCCACAAACATATGGCCAACTGATCTTTGACAAAGCAGGAAAGAATATCCAATGGAATAAAGACAGTCTCTTCAGCAAGAGGTGCTGGGAAAACTGGACAGCGACATGCAGAAAAATGAAGCTGGACCACTTTCTTACACCATACACAAAAATAAACTCAAAATGGATGAAAGACCTCAATGTAAGACAGGAAGCCATCAAAATCCTTGAGGAGAAAGCAGGCAAAAACCTCTTTGATCTTACGTGCAGCAAGTTCTTACTCAACACGTCTCCAGAGGCAAGGGAAACAAAAGCAAAAATGAACTACTGGGACCTCATCAAAATAAAAACCTTCTGCACAGCGAAGGAAACAATCAGTAAAACTAAAAGGCAACTGACAGAAAGGGAGAAGATATTTGCAAATGACATGAGATAAAGGGTTAGTATCCAAAATCTATAAAGAACTTCTCAAACTCAACACCCAAAAAACAAATAACCCAGTGAAGAAATGGGCAAAAGACATGAATAGACACTTCTCCAAGGAAGATATAAAGATGGCTAATCAAC